TCATGTAATTGTAGCTATATTCCCCTCTCTGTTGTATCAGGTCCCCTCTCTGTTGTATCATGTAATTGTAGCTATATTCTAACCTATCTGTACGGTATTGTATCCTAGGTCCCCTCTCTGTTGTATCATGTAATTGTAGCTATATTCTAACCTATCTGTATTGTATCCTAGGTCCCCTCTCTGTTGTATCATGTAATTGTAGGTATATTCTAACCTATCTGTACGGTATTGTACTCTAGGTCCTCTCTCCACTTCATCATGTAATTGTACGGTATTGTATTCTAGGTCCCCTCTCTGTTGTATCATGTAATTGTAGCTATATTCTAACCTATCTGTACGGTATTGTATCCTAGGTCCCCTCTCTGTTGTATCATGTAATTGTAGCTATATTCTAACCTATCTGTACGTAGGTCCCCTCTCTGTTGTATCATGTATTGCTATATTCTAACCTATCTGTAGGTCCTAGGTCCCCTCTCTGTTGTATCATGTAATTGTAGCTATATTCTAACCTATCTGTACGGTATTGTATCCTAGGTCCCCTCTCTGTTGTATCATGTAATTGTAGCTATATTCTAACCTATCTGTACGGTATTGTATTCTAGGTCCCCTCTCTGTTGTATCATGTAATTGTAGCTATATTCTAACCTATCTGTACGGTATTGTATCCCAGGTCCCCTCTCTGTTGTATCATGTAATTGTAGCTATATTCTAACCTATCTGTACGGTATTGTATCCTAGGTCCCCTCTCTGTTGTATCATGTAATTGTAGCTATATTCTAACCTATCTGTACGGTATTGTATTCTAGGTTCCCTCTCTGTTGTTGTATCATGTAATTGTAGCTATATTCTAACCTATCTGTACGGTATTGTATTCTAGGTCCCCTCTCTGTTGTATCATGTAATTGTAGCTATATTCTAACCTATCTGTACGGTATTGTATCCTAGGTCCCCTCTCTGTTGTATCATGTAATTGTAGCTATATTCTAACCTATCTGTACGGTATTGTATTCTAGGTCCCCTCTCTGTTGTATCATGTAATTGTAGCTATATTCTAACCTATCTGTACGGTATTGTATTCTAGGTCCCCTCTCTGTTGTATCATGTAATTGTAGCTATATTCTAACCTATCTGTACGGCATTGTATTCTAGGTTCCCTCTCTGTTGTATCATGTAATTGTAGCTATATTCTAACCTATCTGTACGGTATTGTATCCTAGGTCCCCTCTCTGTTGTATCATGTAATTGTAGCTATATTCTAACCTATCTGTACGGTATTGTATCCTAGGTCCCCTCTCTGTTGTATCATGTAATTGTAGCTATATTCTAACCTATCTGTACGGTATTGTATCCTAGGTCCCCTCTCTGTTGTATCATGTAATTGTAGCTATATTCTAACCTATCTGTACGGTATTGTATTCTAGGTCCCCTCTCTGTTGTATCATGTAATTGTAGCTATATTCTAACCTATCTGTACGGTATTGTATTCTTGGTCCCCTCTCTGTTGTATCATGTAATTGTAGCTATATTCTAACCTATCTGTACGGTATTGTATTCTAGGTCCCCTCTCTGTTGTATCATGTAATTGTAGCTATATTCTAACCTATCTGTACGGTATTGTATCCTAGGTCCCCTCTCTGTTGTATCATGTAATTGTAGCTATATTCTAACCTATCTGTACGGTATTGTATCCTAGGTCCCCTCTCTGTTGTATCATGTAATTGTAGCTATATTCTAACCTATCTGTACGGTATTGTATCCTAGGTCCCCTCTCTGTTGTATCATGTAATTGTAGCTATATTCTAACCTATCTGTACGGTATTGTATTATGGGTCCCCTCTCTGTTGTATCATGTAATTGTAGCTATATTCTAACCTATCTGTACGGTATTGTATTCTAGGTCCCCTCTCTGTTGTATCATGTAATTGTAGCTATATTCTAACCTATCTGTACGGTATTGTATTCTAGGTCCCCTCTCCACTTTATCATGTAATTCTACCGATATCATGACATTTCTGTCTAGTATTGTATTCTATGATATTCCTGCCTATCCCTTACAATTTGTTTACAATTCTTCTTCATTTGCATAATTTTCATTTTGCTGCAAACCAGTTATAAGAAAATTACTGATGAACTTAATGATAACATATTCATGATCTCAAATGTTATCCCTGTTTCCTGTGGAACCAACAATTGTCCCTATCAATATTCAAGAAAAAATGGAACCAATTTATAAAAATAATGAAAAAATATAGCACATAAAAATACGCCAAAATATGTAAATATCATAAAGTTGATTATTTCAAGCATCACGTAACAATATTAATGGTGCTATAGTCCATTCTATGTTTCATATACAAGACTATTATTGTTTGGGAAAACGTTGAAAGGTTTCGTGAGTCATCGTTGAAAATTTGCAAGTTAGGCACATTGATAAGGCATATGTAGAACGTTGTGCATTTTCTAAACTGCACGTCATCGGTAGATAATTGTGTTATCAGATTCAGTCAGATTTAGGCTGTGCTATCTTTATTACTCTCCAACACCGGTAGATGACTACCACCCTGCTCATCAGTGTAATTGCTTAACTCATAGGATAGATATTTGCACAAAAAAATGTGTTAAACTGTCTAAACAGTTAAATAGTGAAGTTAACGTATACATTGCATTGCCTGTTTCTTTCATTCTTATATCATACGTCAAGTTTCGCAGAACAACACGTATTTCATTGTTATATCTTTGTATAGTTAGGAAATTATCACTGAACCATTCAGCTTGTTCGTCTGCCACATCTCAAAATACACTATCTGTATAACTATCAGACACTAAAGGCTTTCTCTGATTCAGGTATCTATGGAGTATGAATGTATTTCTGCATGAAAATAGTTCAGGCATTTGATTAAAAATCGTTGTGTAGTTTTGTCTGCTTACCTGACTGACCTGAGAGTCGTTGTGTAGGGGGAGGGGGGGGGGTCAATAGCTCAGTTTGAAGAGGATCGGACCACGCCATCACATCTAAAGATATGGTGTTCGATCCTACCCAGATCTCAGGTCGTCCTATCCAGAAATAAATGTGACTTGGGATTGGAACTCCTAATCGGGATTGATAGTTCACGATAGGTATGTCATATACTCTTCAGTGAGTTAGCCAACACCTTCGTACTACATGACAAACAATAACATGTCAGCATTTCTTTAGATCTATTTTTAAACAACCCGCCAGTTTGTGCTATAAATATCTTACAGGGTAATACTGCATACTACTAATGGATATCAGACTGCTAGATGGAGCTCTGTTTGATGATATAACACTTTTGTGTAGTGACATTAGCGGCGTACTGTTCTCATCACATCAAGCGTTCGGTATGCTGGATAGGTTTTAGTGTAAACGCTGATAATCTTTAACACTAGTTTAAGGTTAGTTTGTGAACCATGACAAACAACTCTAGTGCATACAAGAATTATGAGATATTTTAGCAACTGATGTTAAAAATGCCATTTGAAATAATGAATCAATTAAACCTACCTTTAAAGCGGATATATTTCCTTACGCAATGTAGACCGACTTTCATCAGGACTGTGAACTATCTCTGTTATTATCTTGTGAAATATTATTAATAACGCGGGATACAGTAGTTGTGAGGGAGTAAAATTCGTACATTGTTTAATGATATTTACCGTGTTTACAATCAGCTAGATATCTATGTTAAAGTGTAGACGCTCTCAAAGAAAACAAACTATTAGCGCCATGTATATTTGCTGTTGATAGTATCATCAAGGATACATCAATCATACGATACATTTCAGTTGTATCTACCTTTTTAATTGGAACTTAAATAAATATATTCGTCATGTCCGCCTGCTTTTCCGAACTAAATCCAACTGTGACCTACAGAAACTTGTGAATGGCTTTCGGCACCAGTTGTCGGTTACATTATCTGTCAGTGCCCAGACAATTACAGAAGTATTCTCACTCCATTGTTAGTCCAAAATCTAAATATGTTCCTTTAACAACGTCAACCTTCCAAAACTTTGTTTTTAAAAACGCTCAATGTAATGGGTCTTATGGTAGATCTATGATTGTTTTCTGTGAGTGATACAACTTGAGAATGGGCGAAACGAGTTAATGTTCAATTACAATGTTTTAAGGATGCTCTTACCGCAACGATTCTTAATAGCTTTAAAACTAGAACTGTACATTAAAACACTATCTATACATTTCAAACAACGTCTGCGTTGTTTTAATAAGATTTTATCTAACATTTGCGTGTCACTCCGTATTACGGAGAAGTAAAACTTAAAACAGTATAGCTGTACCCATAGTTAGTGTCAGTGTAATGAAAAGTTGAACAACCTTATTTATTTCCTATTCTCAATCTTCAATCTGCACTTGACGATCTTCTGAATCATGAAGTTAGTGGGAAAATTCCACTCCTTCTTTTTGATAAACAAGTGAAGACAATTTAATGTACAATAAAGTATCTAATATCATCGATTGATGGGCTCATACAAAATATAAAAATAATTTTCTCATTATTTCCAAATAAACTCTACATCTTTTTATCTAAACGTTGAAAGAAATGTCATTTTTGTCATGGGTAGAATATTGATAATTAAAGATAGTTTGTAACAGACTTCAGAAGATATTGGTACGGATCATTCTTTGTGTGCTAAATCTCATCAACAGTCAAGTTTATCACGCATTAAGTGTAAGAGTAGTGTTTCGCTCTTCTTGGACGGGGGAATTCTTATTACTGGTGTACGAACACGGCCTTTATCTATTGAGAACAAATATACAGTACAAATGCAGCCTGCATTTGTAATTTACTGTTTTAACTACAATGGGAATGCTTATGAATGTAGAACAGTTTCTTTTCACTGTAATTTTCATAAATACTTTGCACCTCAGTTACCAAATGTAACTTTCTTGTGTTTTCATTCAGAAACCAAGAAAACAACTGATTTATTTTTATTTTTTATTGTATTCCTTATTTTCATTTCAGAGAATTTTCTGCGAATTGGACACGGACAAGAACAATAAGATATCCAAAAATGAGTTTTCTAAGGCAATGGGACGTGTTCCGAAAGTCGATTTCAAGTAAGTGTTTGTTACCTACCTACTCAAAATATATAAGCGTAGCATACAACATCAAGTTTAGAATCATTATGTGTTATTAGATATGAAGTAGAGGCATGGTTTAGGGGAAATAACTCAAGATTTGTTTCTTTGTTTTGAAAATGAATATGTTATTGATATTGGCACACTATCATATGATTTCTGATTTGTTCTTACTTTGTATAAAAAATACGTGTACCGTCATATATACATACTGTGGATTCATTAATTTTCATTGGGTTCTAATTTTCGTTGATTTCTTGGGTTACCACATCCACGAATTTAAAGACCCAACGAATAATGATAAGAGGAAAGAATTCAGAATGACAATTAAAAATCCACGAAAATACGAACCCACGAATCTTCTATTATTAGGATTTCCATGAAATTTGGCACCCACGAAAATTAATGAATTCACAGCATAGTACGACATAATAAGCTGGTACATATTTAAATGATTAAAATCCCACAAGTTGTTGTATCTTTGTTCTTTTGATGTCACACTCTTAGTGTATAGCCTGTCATTTTATTTTGAAACTAAGTGATAAGTACGCGTGTTGTCGTCCATTTGCTTACGTTTAAGGGCCGATTTAGTTAGCAAGGTAATCCACGTCACTCCCTTCCCTATGCTGTGCTGACTTAAAACCAAGTTCCATGTTACAACACTTCCTGGGACAAAGTCTGTCACTGTCGCGAGATTACTCACAGTAGTAGTGTCATGAAAGACAATACCGCGAAGCTGCGGATCAAAGCGTTTGTACAAAGTTTTAAAAACATAGCACAATTGCTATCGGCCATTAGTATAATTTGTCACAAAGTATACTTTGTCAGGAAGACAGACTGGTCCCCCTTGATCCTTCATTCTCGTCGTCTTCACAACCGAGATCATTTCCGTTTAATGTCGCTGCGTTACCGAATTTATCATTTCCCACAATTGCTTGGTTATAAGAAGAGATACCTCGGCCATCTCTAGTTTTTTTTTTGTTTCTCGTGTACAGGAAAACTGACCTTTGTCGTGAATTTTTGACTTCGTCAGTTCTAATCCTGTATACCATCTCTTTACATATAAAGAATATCTTACTCAATCACAACATCTCTTTGTCGAGCGTCACTTTTACATGTCAATGATGTACGCCTCCCACAACCCCTCTAGAGTGGTGTATCATTCTACCTTATGACTCTCTAGAAAATCACAAGCTTTGTTACTATTTTTTGTCAGGATACTGGTTCTTAGACGTGCCTTTAACAAGATTGATGCAGACGGTAGCGGTTTCCTCACCAGAGACGAAATACTCAAAGCAGCAAGTGAAGATGTGGGGCTGAATGTGACAGCAGAAAAAATCTCAGACATGTTGCTAGCAATCACCAAAGACGCCGATAAAAAGGTCAAACACGTTTTTAACCCCCGCATATATACCATGATTATATATTGGCAATTTACAAGGAAACATTTTACTTATGCTCGGAAACAACATTCCTGACATTCTCATGTTTACAACAAGTATCACATCAACGTGGCAATTGGTTACAGAGCGAGCATAGAGAAGTAAAGGCAATTGGGGCTTTGAGATATTATTAACATGTAATATATTTAGTGATTGCGTCCTATAGAATAACGTTGTGATGAAGAGAATATTTAATTCGTTTTATCATTCGTCGGATGATAGTTGTCATGTATCCAATAAAATGACGGCACGATGTTTTCATTAACTGTTCGTTCGTCTTCAGTGTACATTAGTTTACGAGTTTTTAGGAAAGATGCCCACGAGTCCTTAACAAAGTATTCTTACAATGTATTCCATGTTGGTTAATATGTACAATACGGAATATGCTCAATGGATTGTAAGCAACCAGAAATTAAAAAAAAAAGATATATCTATGTTCAATTTTATTTCATACATACATTTACCGTTTTCCCCAATGTGTTAACTGCCCGACTGTTTGTCGGTATTAAAACATTATCAATCAATGGTAATATCACTAGGAATTTTCATTAACAATCTGCACTGTTATCAGTCTACAACATTACCTTAACTCTAATCTGAACACAAAGGATGAGTTTTTGAATCCAGGTATGAATATGTATGTTATGATGAAGGTTGTGGCCTCTTATAACACTTAATACTTTATTTTGCAGATTTCGTATGATGAGTTTCTCGACATTTGGGGGAAGAGGCAGACGTCTTCAGTGTTGCGCATTACGTTTGATAAACTGGATAAAGATAAGAGTGGAACTCTCACGAAGGACGAGATGTTAGCGGGAATTAAGTCTGATGAAGAGCTTAGCATTCAGGCTACAACGATATCGTCACTACTTGTAAAGTGGTGCAAGGGAACATCAGTCAGTTACGAGGAGTTTTGTCGATTTTACGAAAGTGTTTCGAATAAGTAACACAATGAGTTATTGTGTTGTAATTGTTTACACAATACCGCCGGTGTACCATTTTATACAACGTCCCAAGTATTACCAATATTTGCTTTCAGTCTGTACTCGTATGAAAAAGCTATTTATATTCTACATTAGAAACATTATTAGAGATAAGCTCCTCCATGAATAGAGAAAGATATATTGATGCATCATATATTGATGGACATTATACTCTTCATTATGTATGTCTTTCAGCATATATCTGTCAGGATTCTCTAATGACCTGACTGAGAAGCCTGTAGTTGCTTGAAAAAAAACTTTATTTACATGATCATCTTTGGCACACAATGTATAATTGGGTTTCAGATAAAAAATACCATTTGTTTTAATAAGAATTGATGTTACTTTTAAAAATTGATAAATGGATTGTATATGTGTTCTAAATAACATTATCCATATTATGTCCCGTTCATCACATAATTAGTTATCATGCTACATGAAAACTAAGTTATTAAAGCAAACTAACTTGTCATATTAATAAACTGCTTTATGTACCCACCGTGTATATCATATTTATCTTACATTGTAAACTCGTTGATAGAATAGAAATTACTGACAGTGTGTTGTTCTATTTCTTTTGACCTTGTATGACCTTGATAGAGAGCTGTGAAGTCTTCTTATATTAGTATTCTACAATGCTGTCATCCAACATCATATACATTGATGGGGTTTACGTATTTCACGGAGTGTGTTAAATAAGAAATTCGTTGTGTCTCTCTGTAGCCTGATATGACGCTGAGACAAAACCACTCAGTTTACCAATTTCTGTGTTATTAATGATTATACATTTGAAATCATAATGCCTTCATTGTTCCAATCATGTAATTATTTTTTTTTTACAAAAAAGAAATGACCAGTCATACTAAGGGACATCGGACGTCCTTGTTACATATCATACACGGAAATATCATGTTTACATATGACATCATGGTGGCGACCAAAACATCCCCAAAGTCTTCATCAACCTGAATTTCTCGAAATCTCGTATTATACGCTGACATCGTAATAATGAGAATAACACTTTGAATATCGAGATATCGACTAGTGGGGAAGCTGTGTTTTCACTTTCAATAAGAATGCAAAGTTCACAAAATTCACTGTTATGAAGAAAAAAAAATCAAAGATTCCATACAGCACATACAGGCACACATATTAATTAACATAATTTATTATCATATGATTTGTCAAATATGTCACAAAAGGATCTCTACAACACACTTAAAAGCAATTAACATTATTTACAAATTAACCCGAATTAAATTTTTGTCAGAAAGTAGCGTGAACTAATCTCTTCAGAGAACAAGATGACGCAATCTTCCCGAAAGCATAATGAATGAACAGAAACTTCTAAATCTATGATGAAATGTTGATACTGAACTGATCAAACACATTTCCTTATTTGGTTGCCATGGTACCTATTAATGAAGGTAACAATGGACAACGAATTAAACGTATACCGGAAAAAAGACATACTAATAAAGTTACTATTGAAAAACCGATAAAGAATTCATCGGGTTTGCTACTGAACAGGAGTTGACTGGTTGATAAACTACTAAATGGTAAGACGACAAACTGATCACACTATTACATGAACAGATGACAAACGGATAAAACTATTACATAAACAGATGACAAACTGATAAATCTATTACATAAACAGATGACAAACTGATAAATCTATTACATGAACAGATGACAAACTGATAAATCTATTACATAAACAGATGACAAACTGATCAAACTATTACATGAACAGATGACAAACTGATCAAACTTTTACATAAACAGATGACAAACTGATCAAACTTTTACATGAACAGATGATCAACTGATAAATCTATTACATGAACAGATGACAAACTGATCAAACTATTACATGAACAGATGATAAACTATTACATGAACAGATGATAAACTATTACATGAACAGATGATAAACTATTACATGAACAGATGACAAACTGATCAATCTATTACATAAACAGATGACAAACTGATCAAACTATTACATGAACAGATGACAAACTGATAAATCTATTACATGAACAGATGACAAACTGATAAATCTATTACATAAACAGATGACAAACTGATCAAACTATTACATAAACAGATGACAAACTGATCAAACTATTACATGAACAGATGACAAACTGATCAAACGTTTACATGAACAGTTGAAAAACTGATAAATATACTACATGAACAGACTACAATTTGATAAAACTACTACATAAATACCCATAACACAGTTTTTTTTACAAAACTTCCTCCCTTTCGCATAAGCGGATTTTGGAAATAATTCATTTTCACAATGGGCCTGTGCTTCACCTTTTTTACGTTGTGAAATTTGATCCGCCAAGCGTGTTAATGTTGCATTCATTGTGACCAAGTGTTTCTCCTTGATTGGATATGTACCGTGGAGATAGTATAGGTATTGTATCGACTGTTCCTTAAATCAATGTTTGTCCGCAGGATTCCTAATTAGAGGACTAATCTTTGATCCCGTTGTGACGTCCGCTATATCAGGGTCAGCGTGGACTGGGGAGGACGAGGGGGGAGTAAAACGTGATCAGGGATTACCATTAAGGGTAAATATAACTGTCCTATTCCGAGTACCCGTGTGTGACAGCGAATTCAACATATTAATTGTTATGAGAGAAACGTTCTCCACAATCCGAGTACCCTGATGTAACGCTGTCTACAGTAGATTCGTTATAACATGATAATTTAAACTTCTCCACACTCCGAGTACCCTGATGTAACGGTGTCTACAGTAGATTCGTTATTACATGGTAAAATAAGCTTCTCCACAATCCGAGTACCCTGATGTAACGCTGTCTACAGTAGATTGCTCAACATGTTCTGACCCGTGAACCCTGAAATCTAGCCCTCTAACATTACAAGTACATCTACCAAAGTCTATGGTTGACTTGTTCTGACCTAGAAAACTAGCCCTCTAACATTACAAGTACATCTACCAAAGTCTATGTTGACTTGTTCTGACCTAGAAAACTAGCCCTCTACACATTACAAGAACATCTAACAACGTCTATGGTTGACTTGTTCTGACCTAGAAACCTAACCCTCTACACATTACAGGTATGTTCTGACCTAGAAACCTAACCCTCTACACATTACAGGTACATCTAACAACGTCTATGGTTGACTTGTTCTGACCTAGAAAACTAGCCCTCTAACATTACAGGTACATCTAACAACGTCTATGGTTGACTTGTTCTGACCTAGAAACCTAACCCTCTACACATTACAGGTACATCTAACAATGTCTATGGTTGATTTGTTCTGACCTAAAAAACTAGCCCTCTACACATTACAGGTACATCTAACAATGTCTATGGTTGACTTGTTCTCACCTAAAAAAACTAGCCATCTACACATTACAGGTACATCTAACAATGTCTATGGTTGACTTGTTCTCACCTAAAAAAACTAGCCATCTACACATTACAGGTACATCTAACAATGTCTATGGTTGACTTGTTCTGACCTAGAAACCTAACCCTCTAAACATTACAGGTATATCTACCAAAGTCTATGGTTGACTTGTTCTGACCTAGAAACCTAACCCTCTACACATTACAGGTACATCTAACATCTAAGTCTATGGTTGACTTGTTCTGACCTAGAAACCTAACCCTCGACACATTACAGGTATATTTAACAACGTCTATGGTTGACTTGTTCTGTGTACAAATAGATTATGTTACATTATGATATGTAGAATTGTGTTGACGAGTAACTTGAAAGCATAAACTGAATAATTATTATTACAGTCTTAACGGCCCGTCAACACATAAAAAATCATTAGGGCCATCAAACAGTAAAACACACAGTGATCCAAAACGGAAATAACATCAAACAAACTAAAAGGTAAAAAACCAAATGCTAAATACCACACAACATATATAAATGGTGTGACGAATTGTTTAGGAAACAGTATATAGAGGAAGCCTGCGTGATTTTTACATTTTGATGACAATAATTGAAAATCATTTTCCGACATGTCAACACAGTCTTCATGAAGACAAAATTTGATGAACGCGGACAAAAGAAAGATTTCCAAGGAGACGCTTCTGCTACAATGACGGCAACGGGTCATCGCCAGTCTTAGGTACCCTTGATTCTTGCAGTGAATAACTAAAATTATTTCCAATGCAGACTACAGCCGTATTCCCCGTTCAGACCATCTTCATTTCTCATCCTGCGGCCTGGGGGACAGATAAAGCATTTGACTGACAGCTTATTCCAATTTATTTCCTTGTTTTGTGCCTACTCAGCTGGACATCATTATACGCCACTATAACACCAATCCAAAATGGTGACTTTTGTGATTGCCTCGCACTCCTTCTGGGCATCCCGTTGTCTCCTAATGGAGTCGTGCAGGTTAACCGATTCAAAAACATTCAGTGAAAGCCGAGCGCCCAAGTAAGGATACATACTTAATTTCCATCAGCATTATACGGCATTTTTTTTAAATATGAATGTATTTCAGATAAATTTGAAATACTTTCCATTCTGCTGTTGCTGACAAATTCAATTAAACAAGTAAACGGTGGAAATCCTACGAGACAGGAAGCACCAAGCCAGTAAATGTGTAATAGAGTCTATTTACTGTCTCACTTCATAAAAATGAAAACCCGACTTCATTTTGACCACGTGAAATAAGGATTGTTTCGTTACTGAAGTCTTTTGTTGTGTTGTTTACAGTAGACCAACATATAACATATCCATATGACCATACAATGTAGACTTAAAATAGAAGGGAAACGTGTTTTATCTTTGAAATCTGTGTAACGTGTTCATGTATCAAATGTAAGTGAACCCAAATGTCTAAAAATGGCCCGATGATTTTTAGACTAAGTTGCAGTGCATGTTTCACATCTCTTTTACAATTAAAAGCCATGAAATTAACACATAATCTGTCCATCAGTGTTCGTACTGAGGGCACCTTAATCAAATAACACCAGCAGCTGAAACAAACATAATAACCTCGCTAGTGTAAACAAGTTCGCGGTAGAGAGCAAACGGTGATGTGACAATGAATGCTTCTTCAAACACTTAAGTGACGTTATTGCCGTGTAGTGCCGAGATCTAATGGAGGCTGATAGAACGCTTTCGGGGATTTTAAATACGTAAGCATGTTTTTTCAATAAGTATTTATTGACACGGTCTGGTCTTGTTTCAGAAACAGAGATAGTTCTCCCTAGCATCGTGTTTTGATATTTAAATGAGAATTTCTTTGAAGATCGCCGACTCGTTATATTAAGATAAATACAGAAATGATGTTACCGGAGGGTCAGGGGGTCTAACGGGCTCGGGTACATTTAAATGTGGAGTCAGCTGAGCACTTTTAGATAGTCGTACCAATTATTGATAATATCTTATTTCCGTTGATGATATTCCGAAAAGTAAAGTTTACTTTAAAGTAATCGTTTTGTGACGAATGTAGGAATGACGTAAATTCGTTCGGCGGAA